TGATGAAGATGAGGGCTGTCCAGGGCAGCGGAGACTACTGCCTCCTGAAGATTTTTCATTAGCAGAGAGTTTGTCTCCTCAGACAGAAGAGACAGAGGACGGCGAACCTGCAAAGAGTTTTCAAGCAAGTATTGAAGAGAGGATGGGGTACCCCTCAATCAGCAGCCTTGATGAGCCTGTAAGAACGAAGTGTCTCCTTGTGTGTCTCCTTTGTCTCCTTATCTTCTTTCTGTCTCCTCTAGTCTCTCTTTTGTCTCTTCTTCTTCACACACCCGTTGTGTCTCCTTTGTCTTCTTTTCCTCAGTGCTTTCTTGTGTCTCCTTTCTCTCCGCCGCATAATCTTTGGTGTCTCCTCCCCTTCGTTCTCTTGCTGCGTCTCCTTTGTCTCCTTGTGCTTAGTCTCCTGCTGTCTCTCTTCTGTCTTTATTATTATTCATTCTGATCTGTCTCCTTTACCTGCTCTCCCTTGTCTCCTTTGTCTCCTTTTTATCTTTCTTTCTGTCTCCTTTTTCTGCTCTTTATCATTCTTTTTGTCTCCTTTTAATTCATATAACCTTCCTGTCTCTCTTTTCTGTTTTGTATTGCGCAGGCTGCCTCGCGGATGTTCAAGCATTTGGTGATGTTTGGGGGTTCGTCTTCTGATTAGCAACTGTCTCCTTTCTTATCTGTCTCCTCTTGTCATTAAGTGTCTCCTTTCTTATCTGTCTCCTTTTATTACTAACTGTCTCCTTTCTTGCTGTCTTATTCTGTCACTAGGTGTCTCCTTTCTTGCTGTCTCCTTTCATCATTTAGTGTCTCGTTTCTTATCTGTCTCCTTTTGTTAGCAACTGCCCCTCTTCTTATCTGTCTCCTTTTGCCTGTTCGCTTTGTTTAGCAGCAGCAGCAGCAGCAGCAGCAACGGGCCCCCCTGCAGGCTCCAGGTGTCTGTGTGTCTCCTCTTCAACCTATAAAAAGGAGAGGCTATAGAGAGTAGCTAGTCTTTTTGTGTATTGTTAGGTATTGTATTGTTTATTATAAGATATAGTCTGTAGAAGGAGACAGTTTATTCTATTTTATTTGCTGCAGGAGCGATGGAGATAACCAGACCCCTCACCGTTCAAGGGGATGTGGATAAGCCAGTCTTAGGGACTTATCTGGTAACATGTGATCCAGTACGCTAAACCCTAAACCCTAAACCCTAAACCCTAAACCCTCAAACCACAAGGGATAAACCCTCGTCTTTCAGTACGTTTAACGCTAAATTTTAAACCCGCACACGACGGGGGATAAAGCCTTGTCTTTCAGTACGATAAACCCTAAACCCTCAGACTTAAACCCTCAAACAAGAGTAAAACCCTTGTCTTCCAGTACGATAAACCCTAAACCCTCAGACGGCGGGGGATAAACCTCGTCTTGCAGTACGCTAAACCCTAAACCCTAATCCTTCAAACCATTAGAGATAAATCCTTGTACATCGGTGGTCTGGGCGCTAAACCCTAAACCATCAAAGGATAAGGGGTACTCCATCGTCTGCCTTGCTCTAAACCCTAAACCCTAAACCCCAGAGGGACGGGGAGGGCTTAGATGGCGTTATCGTCCGGTGTTCTAAGCCCTGGACGAACAAAGTATAAACCCTCGTCTACCGTGTTTCTCTACGGCTGCAGGGTTGGGGCTTTTAAGGGTTTAGGGTTTAGGGTTTAGGGTTTAGGGTTTGCTGCGTACTTGTGCAGAAATATCCACTGACCGCTGTTGAGTCTGTTTATTCTCTTCAAAAATCTATTCGGGTATGTACATACACCCCAAACAAACTTAGCAAATAAACCCTGCATATACACCCCAGAAGACGCTGCCGCTCGGCGAAGATGCGGATCCTTAGCACCTTGCCTCCTTCCATCGAGGGTTTAGGGTTTAGGGTTTAGGGTTTGGAGGCGTACGTGGGGTGCAGGAGGACGTCGCCACTCTTCTAGCGGAGAACGTCTCCAATGCTCTAGAGAGTTTGATGTTTTCTGAGGATTCAGGTGAATACTGCAGAGACACCCCAGGTTGTACACGCAGCAGCAGCAGCAGCAGCAGCAGCAGCAGCAGCAGCAAAGAGGAGACAGCTTTGCTGAGTTAACGCCGCCGATGCTTGAGACGCAGCAACCCAACTGTTGCTGTGCTTGTTTACAACAAGAGAACCGCCGGGGTTTAGGGTTTAGGGTTTAGGGTTTAGGGTTTAGGGTTTAGGGTTTAGGGTTTAGGGTTTATTTAGGGTTTAGGGTTTAGGGTTTAGGGTTTAGGGTTTAGGGTTTAGGGTTTAGGGTTTAGGGTGGTTTTGCAGGGAAGAACCCTATCTGTTCAATGAACGTCAGGAAGTTCGGCCATTTGGAGGTCCAGCGTGAGTTGGGGTTTAGCCGGGTACTAGCTTTAGGGGGTAGCCTCCATCTTTGGGTTTAGGGTTTAGGGTTTAGGGTTTAGGGTTCAGGGTTTAGGGTTTAGGGTTTGCGTTGCAGTGCTGAACTCGGTACAGCACAGTCCTTTGGATGCGCCTGCCCCCTCTTCTTCTGCACAGCGTCCATTGATTCCTGTTAAGGAGGAGATGAAGGTAACAACGACGGTAAGGAGACAAGGAGACACCTAAAAGGGAGACAGCTTCTTGCTGTCTCCTGCTGCTGCTGGTGCTGCTGGTGCTGCTGGTGCTGCTGCTGCAGCGGGTCCTCAACATAGAGGCTGTGCAGCAGCAAAAGAGACAGCAGCAAAACAAGAGATGGTTTAGGGCTAGCTACGTGCGGGGGCAGTGCGCAGCTGTCTCCTTTTTAGGCCTTTGTGTCTCTGTTTCATTTTGTCTCCTACTCTCTCTCTTCTCTCTGTCTCCTCTCTGTCTCCTGTCTGTCTCTTCTCTGTCTCCTCGCTGTCTCCTACTCGGTGTTTCTATTGCTCGTGCTTCTTGCTGCCCCCAGCCTCCTCAGGAGACAGTCTCCTCCTAGGGTTTGTACATCATCTTTGCTTGTCTCTAGGGTTTGACTGTCTTTAGGGTTTGTCTGTCTTTAGGGTTTGTTTGTTTTTAAGGTTTGTTTGTCTTCACTTTTGTTGTCTCTGCATATACTGGCAGGCGGAGGCAGCGGAGCAGATAGATGAGAAGATATCCAGAGGAAGAGGTAGTTTTTGCGGTGTATCCTCAGCTCTTCTTAGTGTCTCCTGTCTCCTTTCTGGCTGTCTATATCTACCGTCTCCTCCCTGGGTGTCTCCTTCTCTTGTCGCTCTGCATGCTGTCTCTGTCGCTGTCTCCTCTCTCCTCTTTGTTTTTGTCTCCTTTCTCCTCTGTCTCTGTTTCTTTATCTCTCTGCTGTCTCCTTTTAATTCTGTCTCTGTTTCTTTATCTGTCTCCTCTTAATTTTGTCTCTGTTTCTTTATCTGTCTCCTTTTAATTCTGTCTCTGTTTCTTTATCTTTCTGCTGTCTCCTTTTAATTCTGTCTCTTTCTTTATCCGTCTGCTGTCTCCTTTTAGGGGTTTTGACGTGCCATTTGGAAGACATGCTTTCTTTATCCGTCTGCTGTCTCCTTTTAGGGGTTTTGACGTGCCATTTGGAAGACATGGATCTGACTGTCGTGGTCACCCAACCTGTAAGGTGTCTCTTTACCTGCAAAGGGAGACAGACTGCTGCTGCTGCTGCTGCTGCTGCTGCTGTTGCAGGAGACAGCAGCAGCAGCAGCAGCAGCAGCAGTAGCAGCAGCAGCAACACAAACTGTCTCCTGCGAGGGGGTGTATCCTTCTAAAGCATGAGCGGCAGCAGCTGCAACAACACAAACTGTCTCCTGCGAGGGGGGGTCTCCTTCTGAATCATCAGCATCAGCAGCAGCAACAGCAGCAGCAGCAGCAACAACAGAAACTGTCTCCTTTTACTCTGCTGGCAGCAGAGACAACAATTTGTGTGTCTTGTCTCTTATAGGGTAACTCGGGAGATGCAGTTCCCTTTAACATGGACGACGACGGGGTGAGTTATCCACGCTTTAGGGTTTAGGGTTTAGGGTTTAGGGTTTAGGGTTTAGTTCTTTGAGTGCATGGAGAGCAGAGACAGCCGAGAAGTAGAGCCCATGAAGTAATATCAAGTGTCTCCGTTTTGCTGCTGCATGCTTTGTAGAGACAGTTGCAGTTATTGTTATTGTTTCCTTATTGTTGTTAATATGTTGTAGTGTAGCTTGTCATCAGCAAGATGAGGTGCCTATACACCTCAATTTTTAAACAGATTTGGGGTGTATAGGCAGCTTTTTTTCTTCAGGCTGCAGCCACCAGAGACGAACTCCGATCCATGCTGGAGGTAAAGATTGAGCAAGTGGTTTTTGCTGCTAAAGAAGGGAGAAGTAAGTTTTAGGGTTTTGTTTGCTGTATGTTTTAGCATGTATTTGTAGAGATATTTTATAGCTTTTGTTTATTCAGGAGGTTTATTCTTAGTGTGTACACTGCACCTGCTCATACAGAAAAAGAGACAGCAACAGAGACAGCAGACTCTTCCTATTAATAACTAAAAAGTGCTTCTTGTCTCCTAGACAGAGACAAACACTGCAAGGACCCTTCACTGTAACACACAAGCACGCTATAGGCGGCAGGAGCAGTAGCAGTAGCACCGGCTGCTGCTGTTGTTGTTGCTGCTGTTCTTGTTGCTGCTGCTGCTTCTACTTCTGCTGCTGTTACTCCTGTTGTTGCTGCTGCTGGTGCTTCTGCTCCTGTTGCTGCTGTTGCTGCTGCTGCTGCTGTTGTTTTTGTTGCTGCTTATTTTTGCTGTAACATTCAAGTGAAGCGATTGTATGGGCATGCGCAGGGGTTGCTGCATCTGCACTCTA